AGAGAGAAAAATTTAGACAATACAGTGTCGAAGTGCAATGAACAACTATTATTATGGTGTAAGTATTCTTATTTGTGTGAATATTTAATATCGGACTTAACCTAACCTAATCTAATCTTTCTACCTTTTGCATCAACTGTCATCAGCTTATTGGTCAAGAGCATTTATATTGAATTAAAATGGCGATGGTTACCTAACCCAACCGACGCAATGTCGCATCTCTGTTTTCTAGGCCTCTAGTACCAAGTTGTTATTCATGCAAATTTGATACTGTTTAAAAAGGCTAATAAAATAATAAGTGTAATAATGAGTTTTAAAGCATATTTGACTGTCTTAATAAATGAAATGTATAATGACGAAAATGATGAAGTATCTCCAGTAGAATCTTATAAGCACTTTTTTGCAAAATGTGGAAAAAAAAGAAAAATTATGACATTTTTAAGCATAAATGAAAGACAACATAATCGCCCCGAATTATATTCCGAATTTTGGATTTATTTGTACACTGAGTACGACTTTTTCTTTATTTTTCGAATAAAATAATAAAATAAAAAAATAAATAAAAAATAAAATAAATGAAAAAAAAAAAATAAATAAAATAATAAAATTTTTACATAATAAAGAAATTTTATTTAGCACACTAATAGCCCAATATTCAATTAATACCCTAACCTATATATAAACGTAAAAATTAAGTCCATAAATACTACATTTAAAAGTTAAGTGTGTGTTTATCGATTAACCTCAACTGAAAGTCTAAGATAACAATTCTCTTACCGATTCTAAGATGAATACAACATGAAATAGATATTTTATTAATGTATTGTTAATATTTTAGTCTATTAACTCCGTAAAGATATAAAGGAGCGCAGGAATAAGAAATGACGTGATAGCGGAATATAAGGTTAAATATAAAAATAAAAATAACCAACCACAATATAATAACCAATATAATAACCAACCACCAAAATAAAAATAAGAAAAGAAATAAATTATAATTCGTCAATACATTAAAAGTGCAATTACAAGCGCGTGAGAAAGGAAATGTACTAGATTATAATCGCTCGGTTACGATAACGTTTATAATTCGGTCGCGATATCACTTTGTATCACTTATAGTCGACTTTTCACGGAAAGAGATGTTTTCCAAATACGCTAGAGACGATTCCACGAAAGCGACTGTTTACCTACGCGTCAGCTGATCGACTGTGTATCTCTCATCTCTGACTCGCTTCTCGTCCGTTGCGTCTTCCTCGCAATTTCTATTTTCAGTAAATATATTATTATTTCGCGTGTATTTATCTCGGTTGTCGTCGTTAATTTTAAAATAATAAATTAAATTACAATTCTCTTGCTATACATGCTTTTCTTGTAAAAAATACAAATCTAATAAAACCATACATCAATTACAGAAATATAATTGTGCATCTCGAGTTTATACTTATCTATCTTTTCTTACCTCTGCGTCTCGTATTGCTAAACTAATGCAAAAACGGTCGCAAGAAATTCGTTGCTTTAAAAGACTCTATCTCTATTTTTGCACTTGCGTCTAACTGTTTCTTGTTGTGTATGTCAAGTATGTGTTCGTGTGTCCGTGTGTAAACGACAACGATTTTCGAGATCTTTAAATTTGTGGCAATGCAATCGCCACAATATTGTTTCGTAATTTGGCGCGTATTTCCAACTTACCAGAAATTTAAAATCGGTACCCTGCTTTACTGCTGGGTACAGCGTGGTATCAACCAACTGTATAGTAGTTGCTTTCCATTTACTTCGATTCTTAGATAATTCTCACTTGTGACGTCATAACTCAGTTGAATGAGCGTTTCTTTTGCATTCTGAGAAGTGAGATTCAACTGAGTTTTTATACCTACAAACTGCACAAGATTGAAACCGTGTGCTTTATTGAGTCTCGTAGACTCACTTTAAAAGTGATGTTATAAACCTGTGTTATTTGTTAATTTTATCAAAGTAAGCAAGTAGTGACGTCATTAATCTGAGTATTTCATATTCAGCTCACCTCAGACTCAGTTTCACTTGTGTGTAAATGGAAAGCAACTATTGTATACTAAAACGGCTAGCCCCACCTCTACCACTAATGACCAACACACAAAAACGTTCTGGTACAGTTTGGTACACTTTGGTTGCTATACCAAAAGCACGCCAAAATTCGCCTAATCAGGTTTGCCGATCTTGCAGGTTGAAACCATATCCCCAAGACATCCGAATCCAACCTTTGAAAAGAATCCAACACACTCAGGACACTCGGGCCTTAGGCGTCTTCCATAGCCGTATATATATGTTTTTATTTTTTAAATATAGAAAATTTACAACAGCTATATATGTATACATATATATATATATTTCATGCAGCGTTTTCAGCTCTAACTCTGACAAAAAAGAGGACAAGAATAATGTATGTTTTGACTTTTTGTTTAATAAAGAAACAAAAATAGATTCAGGATGACGGAATTACAGTAAAAAATTTTATTTTGAACAATTTTGCCAAATTAGCCACCGATTAAGTTATCAAAGATAATCGTCAAATTTTCAGCTGTATCATCGTCTTCAAGGTAAATAAATCAACCAATAATATGAAAGAAGAAATACGATTGGTCGGTAAATAAGATGAGTCAGCACATGTGTGAGGGATTTAATACACGCTGCATAGGAACGTGCCTCGAGTCTTAGCTCGCGTCGCGATGGTCACAAGTTTGCAAGTCGCTTTGTTTTTGTTTAGAAGTTTGATTTATACGAAGTTATGTGAATGAATCGCGCGCTAAGCGATTGAATCGCACTACGAGAAGCGAACAAGAGATTGTGAGAGATAAAGAGTGAGATAAAGGAAAATCTCGTCTCGAAGAGATAAAAACGTATTTGCACACCACTATTCTATACACTCGGCGACTTTGAAATTTTACAAAGGTCTCGCGAAAGATATTGATTTGAAGAGTACGAAATTTGCACGAATTGGCTCTGCAAATTGTCGCAATTCGACTCGAGCGAGCGGGAAAGAATGACGCGCCCCGCCAGGATTTTCACCGCGCGAATTGTCACGTTTGACATAATTAACATCATGCACTTTTTGACAGTCAGCTGTGGTCGTGGTTTATGAAGCAATAATCTCCTCATCTCTGAGGTAACGCTGGTAACAACACAGTAAAAGACGTGTGACAAATACACCCGCCTAAAACCTCTCACACTCTCGTATGTAACAAGGCAAGCGTGAAGGGGATTTTTAAAAGCACGTGATCCTGCGCGGTGGAAAATTAACGTAAAGATGCATCGCATTGTCGAGTTGGTCATAAATAGCGCTTTGCTGTGGATATTCCTCCAGACCGCGATGAGTGTACTGGTCACTGTCCTGTATGAGTTTTGCATTCCCTGGATCATTTGGGGCTCATTGATTGTCGTGGTAGCGTTGAAATTGGCCCGAGTGTCCCCTCCGCCCTCCAGCACCATACAAGAAGTACTCGGCGTGAATCCGCTCCTCTTGAGCAAAGATAACTCTGTGTCCGAAAACCATGGTAATGGAGAGCAATATTGCATGCGAGTGGTGGCCCACCGTGGTGGAGGATACGATTATCCTGAGAACAGTTTGTTGGCTTTTCGAAATGTAAAGTTACACACTTCGATGTAGCTTAACTATTATAGTATCTAAGATTTTAAAGTAGCTAGTCTTTTTTGTGTGTCTTTCTTATCAGCTTGTTTAACATTTATTGTTGCTTAACAATGCAAGGAAGAAGGAACTAAAAATATAATAATGCATCATCCTATTTAATCATTAAATATTTCTTGTAGCTTTAAATATATTAATTTTTTACTTATTTTCTGATAAGCATGTTTATTTTAGATAAATATTTCTTACTGCATCATCCAAACTTTTTACAGAGCAGAGGAAAGGGTTGCAGTGCAGTAGAGCTTGATTTACGCCTAACAAAGGATAACATTCCAATAATATTCCATGATTCAACAATCGAAAGACTTACAGGCCAAACAGGAACAATTAGTGAAATGACATGGGAAGAATTAAGAGAATTTGATATAACTTATAATCATCCACTTAAGTATGATTATATATATTTTAGCTTAATCATAACCTTTTATATAAAATATATGCCTATAATGTATCTCAGAATATTTTAATAAAGAAAAATTATTTTGTTAAAGAAATAAATTTTCTGAAGGCGAGAGGATTGCATTGTTTGATGACGCATTGCAAGAATGTCTGAACAGCGAGCAAAGAATAATTATAGATATAAAAGAGACAAGACTGGATGTTGTGCAAGTTGTTATAGATGCCTACAAAAAATATCCAAAATTGTTCCAGAGAGGCGTCGTGTCTAGTTTTAATCCAATCATAGTGTATATGGTATGTGTAATACAAATGTTGATTAATGTAACTTAAGTTATATATCTACTTTAACTGTGAATATATTTTTAATTTTATATTCAGATTAGGAAGAAAGAACCACGTATTGTTTCAAGTCTCGCTTGGAGGCCGTTTTTTTTCTCGAGAGCATCATATATTGGTTTGGAAGCACCTGGCCCAGTACGATATCATAATCTGTTTAAGCATTTGGCAGCTTGCATCTTGGAAATTTTGTACGAATGGCTGCTACCGCGCTTTGTCTACTATTTGGTTGGCATTTCCGTCGTGCTGTTGCACAAGGACATAGTAAATCCGTAAGTAATATTATTATAAACCAATTTTTCACGATATCATATATGTATTCACAAAAACGAGTATATGTATGTATAATTTTTATTCCAGACGCGTAATCGAACGGTGGCGCGAACGCGGTGTCCGCGTGATGGCATGGACGGTGAATCGGCCGTCGGAGAAAATACATTTCTCAAGGTTCCTTAAAATCACCTATTTAACCGATACGCTACATCTAGAGAAGGACATGTAGTAATGTCCGACATATTTTTATTCAGTATTAAATTTCAATGACTTTGTACCATACACTGGCATTATGCACGTACAAATTTTTATACTTTCGACTATACAGATTACATGTCATTGATATCAACTATCTAGTCGGGTCGTAAAAAATTGACATAACGACTTACGTTATTTTAAACATAGATTATAAGGCACTTATTTTATAATGTCTTGTACAAGGCACGTATGTATGTGCGAATAGCGATAATAAAATTATTCGTTACATTGAAGGGATTTAAATGGACGGAATTATAAATGGTTTCCTGTGCTATAATGAGATTCATTATCACTTTCTAACTACTAGGAGTAAATCTGGAGACACGGTAGTGTCTCGACGCTAAGCCAATTAATTATATACTACATAAAAGATTTTTTAAGATTACACATTACAATATAGAATTATAAAAGTTATTCATTTTTCACACATTATCGATAAAATAGATCCTTCAAAATAGATCGTTTCTTTCACGATTGCACAGATATTACAATAAATCTATATGTAAAAAAATGGAAAGATATTCTTTCAAATGTAATGACCATGATCACATTTCACAATTAGCACTATAAAATTTATATTAGATATTACTAATAATCAAATAACTATATATATAGTATAAATATATGTATTTAATTATTAGTAATATCAAATCTTTGTATTGCTTAGAGAATAATTAGATAATATAATGATCTCATTCTTTGGATAATGCGTAATGTCATAAAAAATGGCACGATTTATACATCAGGCCGAGGAGGGATTAGAAACAAGTATCTAAAATTATTATAGCAAAATTGCAAAAAAAAAGTCAGTCGGTGCGATACAAAAATTTGTAAACATACAATACTTAGGTTTGTGTTCAAGACGTCTCTTCTCAAACGATAGTAGTAAGTTTACTTTTACGAGATTCCATACCTTCAATGAGGCCAGTCAATAGATCTTCCATCTCTGTGGTGGCACGTTTTAATTTACAATTGTCATTACCATCGTACGATTCTACAAAAGCGTGTGTATACATCAGCTATGTACATATTTACATATCATACTGCATAACTTACCATCAAAACAGTCATTGGCAACCATATTTTGTAGTCTATCTAATATATCATTAAGATCTCCTTGAATATTTTGCAAACTACTATGTTGTGAGTGTTTGTCAGGGCGCTGCAGGGAAGACGGCGTGTTGTCTCTATGAATACCACTTGGCGATTGAGAAGCTATCAGTGATGTGTCATTATCTGTACTACTAATTGCCGTATTAGTTGCGTAAGTGTCCTCTTTGCAATTTGAATTACCAGCGGCTAACCACTGAGAGAAGCCACTGTCGGTTGCATTCAATTCTCTCCTTCTTGTTCCTAATTTAACAAGAATTCACATAAATTTATGAATTTCTATCTAATTGCGTTAATGTATTTTGTACTCACCTCCAATCCAAGTACTTAATTCTATACGATTACTTTCTGATATATTAGCGAATCCAGTACTTGTAGAGGCTTCCTCGATGCAAGGAAGAGTGTTAGCATTAGTCTCTTCTGCCGCACGTTCTATAGGTGATGATGTATTAAAATTATCCAATGTTAATTTGTCATTTCTATGTTGCAATTTGGTTCCTTGTTGATTTGTGCTGTCTTGCCTGATAATCGGGCTCAATTCGAATTCTAAAGGTAAGGCCGTTAATCTGGATGATAAGGGTGGCAGCATCGGAGTACTTTGCATACGAGTGATAATCTGTGGCACTTGGGTCGTATCGGTGAATAAATACTTCTGTAAAAATTAGATATTTTCAGTGAACAATGCCTAAACAATCTTCAACTTAATGTACCTTAAGTAATTTCAATCGCTGCAGTTGAGATTCAATAGTCGCTCTATGACGTTGCAATCTTTCTGCTTTGGTGCCTTGTATATCCAACAACTCAATTTGCATTTGTCGATTTTCTTCTTCCAAGTGCATTATGATACTTTGTAATTCTTTTTGCGGATCGGTTAAAATTTTTCGTTTAACTGTACTTCTTAACGAGCTGTAATCCATTCGTCTGGTTTCGTTACTAAAAGAAAATGTGTTTTTCTACTAAAGAATATTGCATAATTGTTTTAAAAACTGCAAAAGTGCAGTTTATATGTACAACAAACCTGGCAGTATCTACAACCGAGTCTTCTACCGGGATTGTTCTGGTAGGACATAATCTTAGTTTATTTCTGATCAGTTCAAGAATCAGCTTTGTAATTTCACGATGTGAAGTCTATAAAAGCATTGTTTCTGAGTAACATGTTTCATACATTAGAGAGAAAATGAATTTAAACATTATACCTTCACACAAAATTCACGAATTGGATGTTTCAATTTATGTTTATTTGATATTTTTCCTAAGAGAAAACAGTCCTGGCATTGATGATATCCCGTACATTTTAAACATGTGTATCTTGGTCCCTGTACCGGTGTTACTTTACATGAGGAACATCTGATATTATGTACAACTGCAAGTAAAAATTGTTTATTATTATATTTAAATACACGCGATAACTTTGTCACTTACTATGTTCTGCAGATTTTATTCGATTGAATGTTGTTATCCAGACTAATAATGGAGGTTCTTGCATAATCCATGCAGCAAATTCTACTTCAGTAATCCCAAGACCACCCTGAGACTAAAATGGATTGACAAAATGATTAAAGAGCTCGTTTTAATGGATAACACAAAATTAGTTTTGTTCATACCTTTATAAAACAGGCATCTATATGTGACTGAATCTGTTCATATCCATACGCTATATTTTCTCCTAGCATTTCTGTTATTTTGCAGATATTTGTTAATAAGGTATGCAAACCAGCTCGAGATAAACACGCATTGTGATCAGCCAATTGTTGATATAGATATCCATATTTTTCTTGTAATTTACCACTACACAGCAATACTAATGCAACTTTTACTGAAAACACTAAAATGTTTCCAGTATTTTGTCTGCAAAGTTAAACACATTTTCATGTTGTTTCAAAATTTTCTTTTTAATACAACTATTACTAAGAGTATATGTGTATATTTAAAGAGAAGAACAGTTAATTATAAAATTGAGAGATTATAAATACAGTAATATTATTTTATATAGAGAGATAAAAACTTACTTGTCAAAAGTATTCAGGATATAACTTGTGGCAAGCTTGGTTACAAGATCAACGTCAAAATTGAAATTACTTTCTTTCTGCGCAGCAAAATAGATGTCAGATAGAACATCCTCAATTTCACTTGGGTCTAAGTTGACACAATTTTCAGTGATGGACAGCCTATGACGTTCAAATACTCCTGCTATCAATTCCAGCTGTACATGTATCACTAAATAAGAATAAAAGAATTTGAGTAAAATCAGTGATATTTTATTCAACAAAAGATCAGATAAAATTGATTACTTACTATTCAATTCTCTATGTAATATTTGCATTTTTGCAGCAGTTCTATATGATGGATAACGAATAGCATTGCACTCTTGCATAGACCGCATGATACTTTCCATGATGGAATATTGTCACTCTGAATTGTTTGACACTTAGCTATACATTTTCAAGCGCATAAGTTTGAATTGTTGTTGTCAAAAATAGTTTAGAAAAATATTTTTTTAAGTGTTTATACGAAATTATTAATTATATATTCTTAACTTTATTAGTGAAGAAGAAAAACAAAGTAAATAAAATTGTAATACTCTTGTAAATGAGTATATTTTTTATATCCCCGTTTATAAACCTCTATTTATACAAATTATTTAATATACAGCTTTACATAAAATAATTAATAATGTTAATACAAAAAAAAAATAAATTAGTATTTAAAAATATTGCACCTGTTAGCATTAATGGTTAAAAGATATGGTATTCAATGTTGTACTCTCATACAGTAAATAGTTCAGAAAAGGAGTTTTTAATTACAATTAATGTATATAATAAATAATTTAATATTTCCCGAATTTATGATAAATTAAAAGGCGTAATCGATTCGACGATATCAGTTCGATAAAAAACAAAAATATATCAACATAAAGTTGAAACAAATTATAAGTGTGTCAGAGAACAGTATTTTTACGAGAATTATCGAAAGATGCTTACTCTCTGTCATCTCAACATAACTTTGTAGTTTAAATATTGACGTAAACAAAAGAAACGATCTCTTTCTGGGTTTAACCACGAAACGTAAAATGTATAGAAGTCACAAAAGAGTAGGAAAATATAAAGAGTCACTAACAACCAATTAAAAACCGAACTTGACGTGACGAATGGACTAGTGACACTAGTGTTACTCCGTTCTGGTAATAATTTTTATTCATTATTAGTTATTACAGAATCGCGTGCAAGCACGGTGTGCAAGTCTATTAATACAAGATTAATTGCTCAAAGATTTTCTCAGGTAAGTTCAGATAGAGAGAGAGAGAGAGAGAGAGAGAGAGAGAGAGAGAGAGAGAGAGATAGAGGGGAGAGAGAATATGACAAAAGAGTTAATTAAACTATAAGTTAAGGATTAAGAATATTTATAAAATTGTTTGTAAATCTATTGTATTTATCTTTGTAAAAAAGGCTGTTTATTTACATTGCATTATTTTGTAGGCAGAACAAATTTAAAGGAAAACCTTTATGTAATGTGTATCCTATGGAGCAACTCGAAACAAAAGTGAGCAATCTGCATATTACGGATAGTAAAGAGAATAATGGAGACATCATTGACGATGACTATTATTGTAACAATGATTATGATTTGGATGAAAAGAAGAATACTATCATAAAAACAAGTTTGCAGAGATCCAACACTCAAACTGTATCAACAAAGGTAACAAATTACCAACCTAAGCACAAACTGTTATCTCGTTATGCAAATAAAATTAATTTGGAGAAATATGCGGGTCCGTCATTACCAGGCCACGTGGCTAATGTACTAATCGAAAGTGATAAACGGGTCGACAAAGATCGCATAAGGATGAAAGATAAAAGTGATCATGCAACAACTGAGAACGTATTGGATTCACGTATCAAAAACAAACTGCACAAGCTGTTTGAGAAAGGAATACTGGCAGAGATAAATGGTTGTATTTCAACTGGGAAAGAAGCTAATGTCTATTATGCCAAGTCGAAGAATAAGGCAGAGATCGCTATTAAAATATACCGAACATCCATTTTGACATTTAAAAATCGGGAAAAGTATATCAGAGGTGAATATCGTTTCGACCACGTGCATTCCCTGAGTAATCCACGTAAAATGGTAAAAGTCTGGGCAGAGAAGGAATTTTCTAATTTAAAGCGTCTGGAACAAGGAGGTGTCCGAGCACCACGGCCAATTTTGTCCGGTGGTCACCTGTTGTTGATGGAATTCTTGGGATCAGATGGCTGGGCAGCACCCAAACTGAAGGACGCTGTACTTACAGATTCAAAATCAAGAATATTGTACAGGGAGTGTATCGAAATTATGTGGAAGATGTACAACAAGTGTAGACTTGTTCACGCTGACTTAAGTGAATATAACATGCTCTATCATAACGGATCAATTATAGTCATTGACGTTTCACAAGCTGTAGATCGTGATCATTGTAACGCAATGGAATTCCTTAGGAATGACTGTAATAATATCACAGGTATGACAAAGAAATGTTTTGTCATCTTACTTGAAGTTAAAAAAACAAATCTATTTAAAATATATAATTTTTTCAGCATTTTTCAAAAAGTACGACGTGGGAGTTATGTCACTTCAAGCATTGTTTGACTTTATAACAGACCCAACTATAAACGAAAATAATATGGATGAATATCTGGATATATGCATAGAGAAGGAAAATGAAAACAAGGATTCTCAGCAACAGGAAATAGAGGACGCAATTTTTAAACAAGCTTACATACCTCAAAGATTGACTCAGGTATTAATGATTATTGGAAATGTATACAATGTATAATCATTATTTCATTTGTATATTTTTGATAGGTGATTAATGTGGAACGCGATATAAATCTTGCAAAATCTGGGCAAGATTTGATTTACAAGACATTGATCGGCTTGAAAGCAGACTTATCAAAGCCTGCGGAAAAACCGGAAATACTTGCTAATAAACACAAGACAGCTAGTAAAAGTACAAAGGAAGAAAGTGATATATGTACCTCTTCTGAAAAGAGTAACGATTCAGACAGCGAAAATGAAAGTGAAACAGACAGTGAGGATAATAAGGTGAAATTTGTAAGCTCGGCTAGGCCTAGAAATGAAAGTCCCGAAAGTAGAAAAGTAAGTATATTATTCATTTTTCTGTATAATAATACATTTATTAATTTCAAGTATATAATTAATCTCTGTATTCCAATTTTAGGCACGCAAGAAAGCAGTTAAGGAACAACAAGCCGAGAAGCGGAAAGTCAAGATAAAAAAGCACGTGAAGAAACGTAAAATAAAAGTATCAAAAGGAGGAAAATAAATATTTGTATTTAAAAAAATTAAAATTATTTAATATATTGATAATTATTACTTAATATTTTAAGAAATAATGTTTTAAGTTTACTTAAAAAAAAAAATGAACGCGATTTTTTTTTAAATGTTGAACATAATTTTTATAGAAAATATGCACTATATATGCCTTCTTTGCATTATCTAGTACTTTTTTCTTTGTATTGTGATATATTTCTTGCTATTGACAAAAGACGGCGCCACAATCGCAAGAAAAATAATGACCATAATGAGTACCATCTGATATCCAATTTACTAGAGCACGTTCGGGAACGTTGAAATTCAAACCGATTATTTGAAATGTTAATTATATTAAACAATTGTAAACAATGTAAAAGTAATATATACGTAATATACGATATATCAAACTGTGTTGGAGATCAACTTCGAGATAGAGAGAAGATCCGTTAGATATTGTCTAACAAGAAAAGAAAAAGTAGGTGAATCGAAGTAACATTTCGACATTCATGATTGCACATGTATTTATGTACAATAATGGTATTTATCTGTGTGATTTCATGCTAGTGATGGATGCATCATCTATTAAGCAAAGGATTTTGACAACCGGTTGCTCGAAACTGGATGCAAAACTCGGAGGTGGCATACCTTGCAGGGGTATCACACAGCTTTATGGTGCTGCCGGCACTGGGAAGACACAGTTGGCTCTACAATTGTGCCTCACCGTTCAACTGCCGATAACTGCTGGTGGTCTCGGAGCTGGTAACGTTCGAAAATTTAGGAAAAATGCATTATGATCTTATGAGTCTGAGAATAGACAGGACTCCAATTGACTCTCTACAACTCTGAAATACAATATCTTTATACGAATATATTGTTTTTATATATTTTAAAACACGATATATTTAAAAATTAACAATTTAATATGATCACTTTTGTAAATAATAAATATACTGTTACACTTTCAATCTGTTCTCTTTTTCTTTTATATGTGAAATCTTTTTCAAATATTTTGTGCTATCATTATAAAATGTTTATAGTGAAATTACTGATGTTAAAGGTGCCATATACATCTGTACAGAAAGTGCTTTTCCTTCAAAACGATTGCAGCAATTGCTGGAGAAGTCAGAGATAGCTAAAACTCATTCTGTGAATGGAGATGTGATATTTGTGACCCATATAGCTACCATTGTAATAAAAAAATTATATTTATTAATTGAGGGATAAATCAATATAAAGATATTATACACTGCTAGCTATACATTGCTGATGAATGTTAAAGGAAGAATTGGTATTATGCCTCCAACGCAAGGTTCCAGTGCTGATGAATGCTCGTAAAATAGGGTTGTTAATTATCGATTCGATAGCTGCCCCTTACAGAATAGAGGATTGGGAAGATCCGTTACAAGGCAAAACTAAAAGGAGCATTGGAAGGCAATTACACGAACTTTGTAAAAACGATGACTTGTGTGTGATCTGCATTAATCAGGTAAACATATTTTAAATGCATTATCATATCATGTGCTGATATATCTGTTTTCTAGGTTTCTGCAGTTATAGATGGTCACAGATTTATTTCTGAAGATGCAAACGAACAACCAGCTTTAGGAGTCACATGGTCGAGTATGATAACTACTTCCATATATTTCTACAGAAAACTGTCTTCGCGATACGCTTGCATAATGCTTGCTTCGCATTTGCCCAGAATTACTTTCCAATTTGAAGTAAAAGAATCTGGTGTCAAGGCTGTTGAATAAAATCTGTGTTGCACAAAATAAATCATCTTAATTTTATTATACAAGTTTATATATATCGCGAAATATATTTTCGTCCAAGATTTTCGATACATTTGTCGTTTTATAATCGGATAACATAGTGGTATTAAATGGATCTGCCGTTCTCACATCTATATTTTCAATATCACAGTTTAATATTAACCTTGAAGGGAAATATAATATTAATAAAAAATAATTTTGTGCGTCCCAAATAGTGATATGTTAATTGTACCTGAGAGAATGGAGATAAGTTCTGTGAGGCTCTATATCTTTGCCTTCACTGTATGTGTAATCTCCTATAACTGTATGGCCAATATGATGGCAATGTACTCTCAACTGATGTCTTCTACCTGTACCAGGTGCTAGTAAGATTTTAGTGGCAGGTTTCTCTTTCCAATACCCATGTTCTAGCACAATCAGTGTTGTGTAAGATCTACGTGGCTTGTCGCAAAAGATACTGTCACTTGTACACATCTTGTGATTACCAGCTTTTTCTCGAATATCAGCACCTAGATGAAGAAAAAGACCAAGATGAGACTTTGTCAAACTATCTATTATATATTACATATTGAGCATTTCCCAGCAAGAGTATAGTTTAACACAGTGAATCGTATCCTTATGTTTATCAATATTAAATAATGATGAGAAATGATTTACTGTGTTATACTAAGTCTGTTTTTCGTAGTTGAACTAGTATACTTTGGAACTTAAAGTGAGATATGTATATATTTGATATTTAGCAAAAGTGAGAGAATCTAGTACAAGAATAAAAAAACAGACCTATAATGTCCTTGCTGAAAACGCCTGTTGTTACATTATCGCAATTCCTAACCAATAGGTTTGTCGATTACAATATAAGGTTCGTGTATGTGACCATGTACCAATGCTAAATAAAACTTTTGCACTTTATGATTTTCAAAAGCAGACGACGCTGCTCTGGCCGCTCTTTTATTTAACGCTATACACATTACGCCGCTCGTAGGATAATCTAACCGATGCACAAAGTGGAATTCATGGCACAATCGTGGATTAACCAAGTCCGGCAGCATCTGTCGCAATTCCACTTGAAGAGTATTCTGAAAACATTAATACCTGATGTACGGACACGTTAATTACAAGCACTTAAACGAGAATGTCCTCACCTTTCTATCAGGATTATTACTATTTATATACATATCGTAAGGCTTATCGATTATTAAGAAGTTTTCGCTACGATGCATGATCTTGACAGATTTATGCTTTTCGTACCAATCGTTCGCTAGTCTCTTGATGTACGAATGTATCAAATGAATTATCATGTACATGACGTTGTAAATGATCAATGTACATGTGTGTAAAAATTTATTAATGTTTACTCTAACCATTGTAGAGCAAGATGTTCACCTCGATTCTAAACGATGTTCCCACGTGCGGCCATTTTCACTTGTTTACATACCCATGCGGAGGAAACGTTATATATAAGTAATCAAGCATATAGCATTTGCACATATATACTATAGTCTATACCTATTAATATATATATATATATATATATATATATATAATATGTATACACAGAATGTCCTGAATTTTGAATTAAAATATCACAAAAGAAAAATTTTCGAAAAATTAAATAAAAAAGTTATGGACAATTTTACTTCAAATATAGTAATTTTTGATATGGTAAGGATTTATAAATACAGCCAATTACCATTTAGAGTATTTAGACAGCTATTTACCTGTTCATGAATCTTGCATGCGATAGTATTAATTAATAGTCTCTTAGCGCAAGACATTATCGTGTCTCCTGATAATAATAATAATTAGCGCGCATTCTTTACTATCTAAACGTAACTCCGTTGTAGTCATTGATATGTAAATCCTTACTGTTTCACAAACTTGAAATAAAAATTTATAAATAACCTTTTACTTGATTTTTTGAATATTTAATTTTTATTGTGATATTTTGATTTGTGAATTTTGGAACACCCTGTATACATACATACCATGTGTATTTATAAATAATCTTATATTTTTGTACATCTTATATTTTACGGTAGTCAATCATTTTATTTGTGAATCATGCATATGTAAACTATGCAAACTTTCATACGACGTGAGCCTGCGCGATATGTAACATATAAGGACGTGAGAATGCATAAGAGAGAAAATGAGAACGGATGTACCTTTGTCTCTTTTCGATCAAGAGATTTGAGAGGTATTTTTTCGTCTTCTTTTGCACGTTATATGTTTTTTTATAATTCTTAATTTTTTTCTGCTTTTAACTCTTTTGTTTTCCTTAATTTTTTAAATTTTAATTAATTGTTTAATTTGAAATCATAGTAAATATACATATGTATATGTTATATAAAAAAACTCATTGCAAAGTGAAAATATAACATTGTATTTATATCAGGTCTTATGAAACAATAGCACAAATCTTGATTTATTATTGGAAATATCTATTGTATTTCTCATATACATTTCCCAATACAAAGAATGTCTAAACGAAATGCATAAGACAACTTTAATATATCTTTAAGAATTTGATTTTTAAGAAACATTTTGAAGATATTTCATAAAGAAGTTTGAAAGATATCTTAAAAATGCACAGATTTTAGATAATTAATATTTTTAGATAATTAATAGTTTTTATATATCAATGTATAATGCTATGTTCTAAAATTCACTGTAAGCGCTGAAGATCTACAACTTACGTTAAGTGCACTACAGATTTTCAGCGCTGACAGTAAAATTTGGAACACAGCCATAATCGGCCATTAGCAAACAATGCAGGGATTATTGCGTTTTCTGATAATTGAAATAAGGAATTATCACGCGGATAATTGATGGTGACGTAGGAGGTTTGTATGTAGAACGGTTATACATTCTCATTTACACAGATGACACAAAGCTTGCGCCGAGAGATACGTATCTAGAGAGGAATCGAGTGCCATACACAAAAAGATCCTCTCTCGACATGTATTCGCTCAAGGAGATTGCATCCATCGTGTCTGCTTGACGTAAAGTGTAATCGAGCGATCGAGCAAATGAAAGGATTTTTCATCTCATTATTACATCATATTTTATTTACTTTAACCCTTCTATCAGAAGTGGTTCTATTACAAAGAATAATCTAAACGTAGAGATAATAATATTATACAATACAAAACAATTTTTTTTTAATCTCGATTATCAAATATTTTTCAAATCGTTTGAGTGTTATAATTCAAAAACAAAATTGCATTATTTACATTAATTATAAAACAAATTTAAAGTATATTATATCTAGATATATATTATATCTACAAATGAAGAGAAAGAAGAAAGTACTTTTTTTTAATTGTTTTTCACTGAAAAATATACAATACAAACATCATCCTGGTTAGAGTAATCGGAATAAAATAAAAGTTAAAATAGATCGATTAGATTAATGAGTGCTTCGAGAGTTACTTCAAGTTCCCTCGCGTACTTATTTGGTACTTCGTGTGCAAACGTATGCACGTGCATGCACGTTGTCCGGGGAAAATTTGTGCAATCCGAGTATTTGTACCGAATGCAGGTGACGGTAGCGGTGGCACGCTAGATGAGACGGGGATACGTTATGCAAGTTCGCAGCACAGAGAAGTCTATTGCGTCAGATATGTATGGATCGTCAGTTCTACATGTAGAGAGAGAGAGAGAGAAGTCGCGATGTTTAAGCTTTTTATTTTTTATAATTGGAGGACATACATTTCACGCGCATATCATTACCATTGGCATTTAAACGCGTCAATCACAAGGAGCACACGGTCGGCTAATTTTTTCCGTAAACGACCAAACGTAAACATTTTAAACTTTTGCAAATCAAAACTTTCCATAAATTTTTTATTTAATTCAAAATATGAAATAATATAATAATAATGATAGAATATAAATAGATAATATATACACATACATATATAAATAGTATAATAACATCACTATGTTTTGACGACTCTTGCGCTAAAGTGTGGATTTTCTAATCCTTCCACTGACAGGAGAAAAATTAATATAATGAATTGACTGATGCGGTTACGTATACCCCATGATTAATTAAGCATGAAGAACACGATGTCTAAAGTTACGTGTTCTAGACTTATATTTACACATATATATGAGATATGGGTAGTTTCTCAGTTTTATATCGCAAAGCTTAAGAAAAGATGCTGCTAAGCATACATTTTTACTTTCTTTCGCTCTGGGTATATCGGAGCGATATATCAAGGACCACGTCAAAGGTACTACGTGAGACGATTTAGAGGCGCTCCAGATGATTACGAGTTAACGATTTGCGGTGCAACTCTGACGGGAGTCTCGATCAGTGAGATATAGAGCGCGAATCTTCTCGTGAGCATACGCTTACGTACACGCCGATTCGATTCTTTTCCATCGATCCCGTGCAGCATCTTGTGACACACTTGCGTCGAACGTTGCTGTAAATCTTGCCGATTGCACCAAACTATGATCTAGAAACGCGGATGAGCCCCAGGATATATAAAGAGCGGAGCAGACCTCGTGTTTGTCATTCCCTCGAGAAATCTATCCCGCGCTGAAAGGGTAGCAACGAGAGACAGGGAGAGCGAGTCTCCCTCGGAGGGATAGCTAGAGTAACAGAAATTCGATTTCTTTTTTGTCACTGGAAAGCATTATGGAAATCGTCAACATGCTTAAGGTGAGAAGAAATAATATCTAGCTTTACGAAACATTAAACTAATGGATGTATCTTCAAACATATCGAAATTTAGAAATTACTTTGTTGAGAAGAAGTTGATCATGTATTCATAAGATGAGAAAATATATTTATTTCTGGCATCAATAATAAATATTGTGCTTAAATCATAAATGTAATGCTTTTGGATATATATTTCTTATTAGTTAAGACTTTATCTCGACAAAAATTATGTAGCGTGAAAATTTTGAAATGCAATTATGGATGCAATAAATTATTTAATATATATCTGATATGAGATTAGATACAAAGAAGATTGTTTAACATTTTGGCACAAAATTAATAATTATTTAAATAATTTTATTATTATTTATAATACATCCTGATTTATACAATTTTATAATCGTCGGTATTTCGTATTATAAAGTACGTTAAAATTTTTCTCACAGATCAGTGGGACGTTTATTGCAATGCTAGCCGTGGTACGTTCCGAACCTCCGGTTAATTCGTATCTACCTCCAAGAACGGGCACCTCTGGTGCGAATGGCGGTCGGATCGATCTGTCCACTCAGTACGGAGCGCCGGATTTCAATAACAGGGGTGATGTTAATGGAAACAGTGGCGCAACAAGTTTTGGAGGGCCCGGCACAGGTAATGGTCCGTCAAAACTTTACGACGTACCCATCAGAGGAAATGCTGGCGGAAATGGTTTAGGTCAGTTTCGAGGAAATGGATTTGAGGGTGGACAACCTTCTAGCTCTTACGGCGCTCCTAACGCTGGTTTTGGTGAGAACCGTGGCAACGGAGGAAGACCGTCGACTAGCTATGGCGTTCCCGACTCAAGTGGGAATAATAGGGGTGGTTTCGGAAATGGAGGTACCGAAGGAAGACCATCCACTAATTATGGCGCTCCCGATGCAAGCAGGAACAACGGCGGTGGTTTCGGAAATGCAGGTAACGAAAGAAGACCGTCAACTAGCTACGGTGTTCCCGCTGCGAATGGGAACCAAGGTGGTTTTGGAAGTGGAAGTATCGGAGGAATGCCATCGACCAGCTATGGTGTTCCTGGCGCGAATGGAAACAACGGGGGTGGTTTCGGAAACGTAGGAAGACCATCGACTAGCTATGGTGTTCCCGCTGCGAATGGGAACCCAGGTGGTTTTGGAAGCGGAAGTATCGGAGGAAGGCCATCGACCAGCTATGGTGTTCCTGGCGCGAGTGGAAACAACGGAGATGGTTTCGGAAACGGAGATATCGGAGGAAGGCCGTCAACTAGTTATGGCGTTCCCGGGGCAAACGGAAACCACGAGAGCGGGAACGGTGGCAGCGGAAGACCCTCGAGTAATTACGGCGTACCTGGAGTAAATGGAAATACGAATGGTAATCGCTTTAATGGAAATAGTGGCGGAGGACCATCGAATAACTACGGATCTCCGAATGAAAATGGATTCGGTAAAGGATTATTAACCAGTTACGGTTCACCTAATAGAGGTGAAAAAAATGATGATCGTAATCAGTCGGGAGGCTCAAATAGAGGAAGTTTTGGACACGGTGCAATTAACGGCTATTCATCTGGAAGTCCAAATGGGAATTTCGGGCACGGCGATGAAAGTTTTAGAAGAGGGGGGGAAGATGGAGGAAGAAGTATTGGCGGGGGTTACAATGACAACGCGCAAGAAGAAAGTACTGTGAGTATAGGCTCATTAAAACAATAATTGAATCAGAAACGAATGTGACAATATTATTCGATACAAATTGTAGAAAGATTTCTTTAAAAAATATTTACCAGATTTTCTGCGATATTTGTCAAACTACTTTGATTTTAGCGGTAGATTTGAAAATTATCTCATGTTATCTCATTTTCAGGAACCGGCGAAATACGAGTATTCATATAAAGTGAAGGATCAGCAAACCGGCAGCGATTATAGTCACACGGAGACTAGAGATGGTGATCGTGCTCAAGGCGAGTTCAACGTTTTGCTTCCAGATGGTAGGAAGCAGATTGTTGAGTATGAGGCTGATCAGGATGGATTTAAACCGCAAATTAGATACGAGGGCGAAGCGAATACCGGCGGATATGGCGCCGGAGGACTGAATGATAACAATGACGGTTATTCTTCTGGTCGACCGGGTAGCGAAAACGGAGGCTTTGCGAATAATTCAGGATTTAATGGAGGCAGCAGTAACGGTGGTTATCCAAGTGGTGGTCCCGGCGAGGGAAAGCTTGGTGGATTTAATAGCGGAGACAGCAGCGGTTATCAGTCATCGGGAAGACCAGGTACGATAAGATTGCGATCTGTCACGTTTAATTAAATCGAAGTGACGCGAAAGATAAGTAGAAATTTCGAAGAATGTATTAAAAAACTTTTGTATAATAATGAGATATTTAAATTCTGTATATTAAACTCTATATTAACAAATGAAATTTTAAAATTAAGAAGTATTGATATTATACTTTTAAAAATAAAATTTTTCACTTTTTTCATTTCTGTTCATAAAGTAATTCAAAGAACACAAATTTTAGCAGAAAAAAAGTAAATTACTTCACAAGTTTACGCATATACTTTAACTATTATAATTCTTTGATTAAAAATCGGTTTATATTTTATAGCAGGACAATCCTTTGGCCGAGATAACGCTGGTGATTTGAGCAATGACATCGGCGGCTACTTTTCCAATCCTCCTAGTAACAACATTAGCGGTGGTGACAATGCGAATGTTGGAAACAATAGACAAAACGGCGGTAACAGTGGATATCAATATTAAAAGAATACATAGTTTAATAGATTTAGAGTCTATAACTGTTTTGGATGATTTTGCAAAAAAGTGACGAATTAAATGTAAAAAAATATTTAATATAAAATTATTTGTATATTTAGCCAAATTATTATTATTTAATAGTAATCACACGAATAATAGGAAATTTTCATATTACCATATTATGCGTTTACGAGATTTTTTTATCAACAAAAGAAATAAATTTATGAAAATATGAAAATACATACAAATTTCTTGCGCTCTATAAATTCGTTAAATAAAATTTATAAATTACATATATTTATTATTAATATATTATTAATGTTTCGCGTTTATAGCACGACTTATTTAAACTTGTGTAGCAACTTTTAGTTAGTGAGCAGCAAAGAAAAAGTAAACAAATGTATAACCGAAATTGATATAAATTTTGTCTTTATTATTATTATAGATGCGTTCGGGGAGCTGCTATTAGCGTTAATTTGTATCATTCTATCTTTGTTTTACATTTAACAAATAACAAAGATAGAATGACAGAAATAGCGCTAATTAGCGTCTCCCCGAATGCACCATATATATTAAGTTGTTCTAAAAGTCGTTTTTATTTTTTTTTTTTACTGAACGACACGATTTATTGAAGTATTATACGACCCATTCTGCTCCATCACTTTTCTTTCTTCTTCTAAAAGCTTTATGATACCATTTTCTCAAAATTTTTTGTATTTGTTAACAAAATACTGATTGAAGTAATTTTATTTTATTCGAAGAGCTGTTTTTTTTTATTTTAAAAGAAGTTTTTAGAGAAAGGAACAAATAGTAGTTAAAATGGACGAACTATAGAGAATAAAAAGGATGGGGTAGAACATCCTAATCAAACGCCAGCAACTTGTTTCGAACGACCAAAGAGACGTGTGTTCGAAACAAGTTGCTAGCGTTTGATTGCGAGGGATGTCCTATTCTATATATTCTCGTTACTTTCTGGACCCTTCTGACTACTACTTGTAGACTGAAATATACGTACATAATAGAACATACATAGAAAGAATGACTCGTATGTACTTTGACAAATTATGTTGCTTATAGTAAAAAAAGCAACACAATTGCTTTTTTGTATCAAAAAAAAGATTGATAGATAGAATTTATTCGCTTCAGCTTAAAAAGATTGTAAAAAAACAAAAAATTTTTTGGAATCACTTAACACAAGTCCAGACAGCACAGAATACTTATAATAAATATTTGTTACTATTTATTTTTTGAAATATTATATAAATATTTTATACATATATTTTATATATATAAAATTTTATTCCAAATGCTATTATAAAATATAGACTAAATATTTTATATAATATTTATGATATAGAAATTTCTAATAAGTATTTTTTATTTGGATTATTCACATTTACAATGAATATTTCATAATATTTGTAATAAATGTTCACGATCTGTGCAATCTAGCGATAAGACCACAAAGATATTTACAAAATATTTAAAATAAATATTTTATAAATATTGTGTATGCTGTCTAGAAAAAAAACGCACTTTTCTTCATGCAACTGTTGATTATTACGATTAGTCGAAAGACACATCTTCAATTTCTATGCTTAAAAAAAAATTAATATACTATACGAAAATTATGCAATAATAGTAAATTTAGTACAAAAAGTCAGATATCAAACCGTTATATGGAATTAGATATTGTATATCTGCATGCAGCTGCATAGAATAATTTTGTCCTCTTGTGCTGAACTAATTTTGCACTTCCGCGGCGTGCTCGGGGGAGCGCGAACTTAAGGGTCGCACGACGCGCTCGTACGGCAAAGATTAACACGGCAGAAACATAACCGATGTGTACAATTACGTAGCTCTGTATCCGGCTTGCGTTATACCTCGTGCGACCCGCTTGCTTGGCCGTCGACAGGAAGTCAAAGTCGGCCCGGTCCGCCGTCATACGTGTGAATCTCCGGGCATTAAAACGCGCGCACGTTGCAGCTGGTCGCGGTTTCCCAAACGCCCCCCGCGATGTGCCCACACACCGACGAGAGAATCGTGAAAGGGGACGCAGAAGTCATCTCCGATTCCGTTGTTTTGCCGAACTGAGACGTCGAGATATGAAATTCGGCCGATTTGAAAACAAAGGCTGAAAGAACCATAAAAAATAATCCTTTAACTGCACTTTGAGAGAGATAAAAAAATACAAATATTATATATTTAATTTAAAATGATTACTTGTTTATCATAAAGAGATTAAAATTTGAGACATCTCTCTCTATATAAAAAAAAAAACTAAACTTTCGAATTTATTTCTTTGAAAGCTTTTGAAATGCGGGGAAAAAGATTTATTCGCTTCTATTTCCTTAAGAGAAATTTCTACGTAAATATTATTGTTCCAAAACTTTTCACATAGATTCCGGATTTTTTTTTTTTAAATAAAATACCTTTGTCCACGCCTATATTGCGTAAGTTTCGCGCAGGACGATTGTGCTTAGTTAGGTGGACATTTTCATGACGCGGCGTGAAATTCTCGTATTCACACGGGACGACGCATCGGTAATATTTCATAATTAGTTGCAATTCAATTTGTATGGCGTATGATATGCGTGCGCGTATGCGTAGACACACGCGTGTAAATGCGCATAAATATATCCAGCACAACCAGGAACAAGAGAAACAGGTTCCAGCCACGGTACCGTAGATCCTTAAGGCATCATTGAGCGAATGGTAAACCAGCTGCGCCCGCTGCTCGGGATTTTACTGTAAATGTCAACCTAAGGCACGCGAAACGTCCCTCCGATTTAAAGGAAAGTCGTTCCGCAAGCCGAGCTGTATAATAAAGTCATTGCGCGAACGCGCGAAGGGATGAAAGACGCGAAGAGGGTGTTCATTCAACGACCGACTCTCGCATGCGCCTCCGGAGAATGCTTCACCCTTGCAATCTCCTTCCCTCGTTCTCGCATGAAAATATTAGCGAAGAAACGAAGTTAACGTTCCTCCTCGTCAACTTTCAAACTATGAATCGCTTATTCATGAAAAAGTCAATGGCTCACATTAAAATGACAAAATAAGAAATAAACGAATAAGATAACAATATCGACTTTTCATCAATCGATCTGCTTAAGCGATATCATGCAGCTAGAAGGCTTATCGAATAATCGGATATTTATAAAAGATTATTGTAATTGACGTGAGAAAAGATTCACGCGTGTTGCTCGAACTTTCCAAACTTTTCTAGCGCCACGGCTATTTTTTAATTTTGAAAGGTGAAAAAGATATTGTTATACGCGTTGCGGAGCAACGTAGCTCCGTTACGCTTAAACAGAGATACTTGCCGAGCACATTAGAAAGTTGCGGATTTTATGAAAGTACATGAGCCCAAGCATCGTTAATTACCGCTCCTCTGCGAGTGCGAAGTGGTCTAACGTCCACAAGGATGCTAAACGCCTCCAAAGATTAGTCTAATTATTATTTTACAGAGATATGAAAATTGCCAGATCATCGCAAGGCAATTTCGCGCCATTCGATACTTCCTGTTAGTCAGTGAAGTCTGAAATCCTTCATATCTTTAAAATATCAAATTATTCTTACATTACTACGATATTTTGTGCTTCTCGATTTATGTAAATTAAAAGATATTAATTAGTCTGTACAGGGTAATCTAAAAAAAACTATATATAGTGGATAGTACACTTTGTATAAAAGACAGCACGATACTTGGAGAAAGAAATGTCGCACTCTGATAATAATTTTATTGCAATTCCAGTGACAGTTCATTAGGACTATATATATATATAT